AAAAAAAAAAAATTGCCAAATTGCTACTTCCACTCACTATTTGAACGGTGTATTTCCCCACCCTTGCCAAAACTGATTTTTTTTCTTTTTAAATTTCTTTGGAATAGGGTCTCACTCTGTCACCCAGGCTTTTGCCTTAGCCTCCTGAATGGTTAGGACTATAGGAACCTGCCGTCACATCAGTATTTTTTTTTTTTTTAGAACCGGATGTTGCTCAGGCTGGTCTTCAACTCCTGGGCTCTATCAGTCCTCCCCTCCTGGTCCCCCAAAGTGCTCCTGGACCACTGTGCCTGGCCTCAAACCTGATTATTATCAGTCTTTGTGACATTTGCCACTCTAAGGGAAACCTGCTCCTGCTTTAGAGCGTCTTTCTATTTTTACTTTAAGGTTTTTAGCCCATATTATTTAGGCAAATTAAGCCCTTTCCTTTATGGCTTCATTCATTTGTCCTAATTTTTTTGCTTTGTCTTTTTTTATTTAAATTTTTGAATAATCTGGAGATTATTTTTATTGTAGCTACTTTCTCTGATCCTCACTCAGTTTCACAAATGATGATAAAGATGGAATGTTGGACATTTAAAATTAATGGGCATTTCTTTTCTTTCTTATTCAAATTGACACACATTGTATATATCTATCACGTACACGGTCATGGGATGGGTAGATTGAGCTGACGTATGCATGCACTCCCCCGAGTGACGGTTTGTGTGTGTGCGTTTTCAGATCCTAGTGCTGGCTGAACATGACCACTTCAAGGTTGCAGTCAACGATGTCCACTTGTTGCAGTATAACCATCGGGTGAAAAATCTCCACGAAATTAACCAAGTGGGCATCTCAGGAGACTTAAACCTCACCAGTGCTTCACACAGTATGATATAATCTGAAAAGGGTTGATACTTTTCTTAAAAAATAAAATTGAATCTAAACCTTAGATATGACCTCTCTGCCTACTTGCTCTGGCAATGGAGGCCTGTTAGCTGTCTATGGGGAATATATCCTGCTTTGTAAGCTTTCTTACTCTATAAGCTTATCTTTCTCTTTCTCAAAAAACTTTTACACTTGCCTTAAAAAAAAAAACAAAACTAAAACATGTAAAAGCTTCCTGTTAGGGCGGCGCCTGTGGCTCAGTGAGTGGGGCACTGGCCCCATATACGAGGGTTGTATATGGTTCAAACTCGGCCCCAGCCAAACTGCAATAAAAAAATAGCCGGGCGTTATGGTGGGCACCTGTAGTTCCAGCTACTCGGGAGGCTGAGGCAAGAGCATCGCCTAAGCCCAGGAGCTGGAGGTTGCTGTGAGCTGTACATGCCACAGCACTCTACCAAGGGCAACAAAATAAGACTCTGTCACTTAAAAAAAAAAAGCTTCCTGTTCAACTATGAAAGAAAAATTTACATTTATTCATCAACATCCCTCTTATAAGTCATCCATTTAATAAATATTCTTGTGCTGAGTTACCTGTCTTTGTATGTTAATTTATTAGAGTACAGTGGAAAAAGAAATGTGTAGCTAAATTAATACTGCATTAGGACCTCCCAAAGTTTTCTGTACTTGCTATTTTTTTTTTAAGGAGAAAAGTAAATATTATTCCAAAAGTTATCTTCTCATCTAGTTTCATAAAAACCAGGAGACA